AAAAAAAAAAAAAGTATATATACGTATATATATATATATATGTATATATGTACATATATATATATGTATATATGTGTATATATATATGCATATATGTGCGTGTGCATATGTATAGGCATACATGGGTAAATGTCTATATTTATCTATGTATCCAGGTACCTTTGTATCTATGTATATGTGTATGTATGTACTTTACTTATCTATGCACATACGCATATATGCACATACGTATATATATATATATATGTATATATATATATATATATGTTTATATGTATGTACAGCCGACGAAGTTAATTGCCAGAATCGGTTATTAGCACATGCATTAGACTGCGGTGGAGTCCTCTTACAGTTTCACGCGCCATGTTCACGGTTTGATCTATATTCTCACTGGCACCAGCAGTGTCTGTGGGCTTAGATTCTGTATACGCGCAAGAGACATCCCTAAGACTTGGGCGGCGAAAGCAGGATAACAGTTGGCAGTGCTCGTTCGTTCATATCTGCAGGAGTTCAAGAATGACCCGCGAAAAAGCCTGGGTAGACGTGCTGGCAAGTTCTACCACCAGCGATCCCGGAAATGGTGGCAGGAGTGACTGACCCGGAGAGTGGGAGAGAACATGTAGGTATACATCCTCCCGTGTCCAAAACGCTGACGGTGGGGTGGGGCCTGGTGGTTTTCTTGTTTGGCCTTGTCCCCTCCCCGACCCTCCTGTAGTGTGGGGCACGTGGTCTTCTTGGCCCTCCGCCTGTGGCGTGGTTCTGCCCCATCGTCCCATGCTGTGCGTTGCTGCTGAGCAGTTAGCACATTAGGGTAGAGCGGCTGTGTGTTCTGCACAGATATGGTTGCAGGCGCCTGTTAGTAGTAATGATAGTAATCTCATCGTTATGGTGCTCGTTCTGATACTAGCAAATTTGATGTTGCCCTTTTCTCCTTGCAAATGGTGCCCCTTTGATGCGGGGTTCACCCCTCCCTGCAGAAGCACTGGCTGTCGCGCGGCAGATCATTGTCGCTGCATCCGTCGTCCTCCCTCAACACGACGACTGTCACCAGGACCGCTGCGAGCCAGGATGCCGAGCGGGGTGGGAAGGGGGTGGATACCATTTGGGGTGGGCGGGTTAGGGGCTCGGAACCCGAGAGCGCATATGGCAGAGTTTACACACCAAACGGGATATGGAAGCCTAATTCGCCAGGCAGCCATTCAGCCTCCCCGGTCACGGAGAGGGCCTCTAGCCGCGCCTCCACATCCTCGGATTTCGGTTTTCTGGAGTTTGGTCGAATATGTTTATGTGTTTAAGCTTCTCTGCCTGAGATGTGCCACAACCCACTCAACGCCATTCTCAACCACCAGCCAAGGCTCTTGAGGTGCTTTTGCTTGTGTCCTGACATTCGGAATCATGAAGAGCCGTTTGGGCTCACACTTCAGCTGGCAGTAGTGTGACCAGCGCGGCCAAAACAGTCCGCACCCCTGCACCGTGTACTGAGTAGAGCCACCAGCAAAGTGAAGGTCTTGACAGCTTCATCTTAGTCATGTCCGAATCCTGTCCTGAGGTCCAGCTCGCCACGCAGGTCCACCCCAAACGATGTCCGGAGCCTCTCCCGCAACTCGTTCCCATCTCCTGCCAGGACGCGCCTTGATTCACGCCAAGCCTGAGCTGGAACCTGTGATGTTTCAGAGCTCCTGCATGGATCTTCGTCACACCAGGGTTCGACAGAACATCCTTTACCTCAGGAATCCATATCTAGTCAATTCAACCAAGGCCAGCAGGCTCTCAAGGAACCTAGTGAGAATTGCAGGGGAACGACGTCGCAGCAAAAGAAATCGTACCTCATGCCCTCAATCGCAAATACGCCCTAAGTCCCAGCTGCCTGGGTTGGCAGCCAGCCGCGGGAGGAGTGTGTCCGCAGCAGCACCGCGGCATCCTGCAGACCCTCTGGCGGCAACAATGGTACTTGGACTTCTTGTCTCTAGCAATAACCATGCTTGCTCTGCTAGACTGTACGCACACCAGTGTTGTTCTTATTCATGCTTAACTTGGCGGTATGGCTGCTGCCGACTCATCTACCTCATCATCATCATCGTCATCGTCACCATCATCATAATCATCACATCATCATCATCATCATCATCATCGTCATCATCATCACCGCCATCGTCATTACCATATTCGACATCGAGAACAGCAACAGCGACGACCGCATGATCATGATCGTGGTCCTGACTCCGCATTGGAAGCACACCAAACCCGAAAAGCTGCAGACCGCTCTCGCCAACATATCCGGAGTCCAGCGAAGGACAAGGCATGACAATGCACTGCTAAAGGGTTTTTAATCCGACCACCCAGCCATTCGTTACCAGACGATATGCTAAACTCCCTTTTGCATTCTTGCCAGAAAAATTCACAGTAGACGGAATGAGGATTCAACAAACAATCAGGTGACCAGGGCCAGGAGTTCCCGACAAGGATTTGTTTAAAAAGCTCTAGCTTACTCCGCCAACATGTTTGAGCACATTATCCGGCGGGGATGGCGAATACTCTATTTTCCTTTGTCTGTTCTGTCGTACTTCTTGGCATGTGATACAATCTTTTTGTCATACCAAAGTCTCAAGAAGCGCGGCCACTAGAAGCTCATCCAACCTTGCCCTTGAAATTGTGCGCTCAACTAGACAAGATATGTGCATGAACCGGCTAGTGGGACAGCATGCTCCAATTTCGTGGAACCACTCAGGGCCTCCACCTGCCCCGTTTTCCGCAGAGCGAACCAGGAATGCCAAAATATGAAAAACTATGCAGAAAAACTACAATAATAATACTAACACCCCTCTGTGCTGAAACGTTTAAAACAGCTGTGAGAATCAAGGAAATCCAAGATCCTTTATAATGCTCACAAGCCCCCAACGAGCTGGCGCCCCCCAGGCACAGTCCTCCACCGCCAAGACAATTAGGCAGACCCGTTTCTCGTCGTCCTCCTGGGGCTTCGGCTTCAGCTCGAAAGCGAATCGAGGGACGCAGAGACTTTCTCCAAATGAATCTCCATGCGGGGAGCTGAAGTAAGCCCATTGAGAAGTGCTTGGGGCTCTAGTGCTTGGGATTCCCCTTGAAAGTACCTCTTCAGCTCGCTGCTTGCTCTGCGAAGAACCCAGACAGGGACGCCACATGGGACGCCAGTTTAGAATATCCTCTTGTTTAACTCTCCTGGGTCCTCGTCCCAGTAAGCTCCCAGACCCAGAGTCCGCTTGGAGCTCAGCACGCTGAGCAGGAGACAGTAGGTGATGTCCGACTCCTGTCGGTGACACTCGGAGTTGTAAGCCCTGTTTGCTCGAAGCCCTGGATCACACATGTATGCATGTGTGTATGTACGTACGTCTGTATGTACGTATATGTGTATGTACATACGATTAGACTGATACATGTGTATATATGTAGACATACAGATACACATGCACATAAGCAGTCACATATACATATGCATATTATACCCATACATTTACGCGTACGCATACATAGGCATAGCATCGCAAGCTTAGAAGCATGGCACGGGGTAAGTAAAGTATGCCACGACGGAAGTGCAGTGTGAAGCATGAACAGAGCCCCAAACGACCGCGTTCACGGAAGCGGAACCATAAGAGGCCCCGTCCAAGGCGAGCGGCCTGATCGCTGTCGAAATTTCTGCTTGTCTCGGGCGCAAAGAGCGAGAGATCCAAGACCTCGTGGAAAACTCCGCAGTGTTGAGCTTCTGAGTGCTTCTTGCCATTGACAACTGACATGTTTATCTGCCTGACCCGGTCCGTTCAAAGCTTGAGACCCGCACTTAACCTCTACAAAGTCATCGAATACACAAGCCCCCATTCAACATATCGAAGGGCTGGGTCTTGCGATTGCACCCCAGACGGACAATATCCCAATCGGGACCTCGGTGGCGAGATTGCGGAAGGGCTCATCGTCTTGTGACGCCCCCTGCTTCTTCAATCCTTGCAGGCTCTTTGCTGGCTTTGCGTTCGATGATTTTGACATGGGTCTGGAATTTTGACTGTCCACGCAACAGACATTCTGTGAAACAGACGACCGCCGACCTGCACGCCTCCAAGATTTGACTCTGCTGGGTGGGATCACCTGAATGTCAGCCTCAGGCACCCATGGCTTACGCCCCAAAGCCTCCGCGCCGTACCAGCAAGGGCCGAGCTTCTCGCGTCATTTGCTGAGCTACGGGATTACAACGTCTGAAATCACTACAAAAGATTTCAAAGAAGTGCCCTGGTGATCGTGAGTGTTGTAGTTCGAATGCTCGAGGCTCATAACAGCTGCAGGGCGTGCCGGGAATTCAGCAACCTGTCCTTTAGAAGAGCTCTGTTGCATGATCTTGGGCTCCGCGCAACGTCCGAGACCCAGCCCTTGGAAAGCACAAGGTAGACTTACTTAGGCTTACAAGAATCAGCCAATTGCTCTGGACGCAGAACTTGGCGCCCCACTCCTAGATTCCAGCCCAGTCTCCGCACAGGTTCAGATGAAGCCTCATCACGACTGTGTCCCCTGCTTATCTCACAGGCTATTCACAGGTAAAAAAGCCGCACACCTCCGTGGGTTGCACGGACCTTCAACGGCGAGAGATGGAGGAAGAGAGACTCACTCCGTTAAGCTCCGGACGAGTTGTGCTGCCTCGGGCTCGCCGGGGAGTCTCCAAGCACGGAGAAGGCCTCGTCAGGGACCCAAGCACGACATGTGCAGAAGTGCCCTCGCCCCCTGTCCTTGGTTGCGAGTGATGGCAGCGAGGACCTCAGGCTCCATGTTGTGAATTCGACTCGTGCGAGCCCAGAGAGGCTCCCCGCAGTTGCTGGGCAGCTGCATCGCCGACCTCCTCGAACCTCCCACAGACTGCATGGAGAGATTGCGACACAAACTCCCTAAGTCCGACCTTGATGCCATGACTACGATGTCCGCCCACGGGTTCACCATCATGCTCGCCACGGCCCCATACTGACGACAGCTCGGAACTTCCACAAAGACATCAGCCAGTCAGGCTTACGATGACGGGTAATCGTGGGTATGCGGCCAAGGCCGCTGCCAGAGCCACCTGGGCAACCAGGCCGGTAAGCCACAAAGAATCGTAGTCCTGCAGACTTTCCCGGACATTTCAGCTGTCTTCGGCAAGATCTCTGCAAAAAAGCCCGACTGAGCCCGCGTCCTGAGTTCTCACCTTAGCAACCTGGTGCATGGTGCTGGCCTCAACAACAAGGTCCGTTGCGCTGCTTGCACTCGCGGCAGCCCGGAGACAGTCTTGAAAACCGAGTTCTGGGCACCAGCTGAGAGGAGCCACTGAGTGAGAACTACCAGTGCCAGAGGACCCTGGTAGCGAGAAGCCCGGGGCAGTCGGAGGGTAGGGTAAGCATTGTGACGGGACGCTGCAAGCAAGCCTGGACCATTAGCACCACCATCTGTGCTGCAGATGCAGCCGCCAGGTATCCGGCCTTTCTGTGGCACACTGCTGCTTTCCACTCAGCCAACAGTCGGCATTTAACATGCTATGTCGCCCGACCGCTGTGAGCGCGCTCGCAACGGCAGCGTCATGGGAGCTGTATGATCCAGCTTCGAGAACTGGAACATCGCCCTGTCACGGAAGCACGCAGAGATGATTGTTTTTTGCTGTATAGACTCAAGGCTGAAACACAGACCGTCCGCAGTAATACAGCAAACCCAGAGTCACAGGAGCTGCAGAAAAAAGAAGCAGCACCAAGAAGTCTGACTGCTGTCACTGCCAACTATTGTACTGCGACGACGACCACGACAAGGTCGAAGAGGAGGAGGAGGAGGCGGAGGAATACGAGCAATGTGCACATATCCTGCTCACAGTCATCATCACTGTCGCTTCGTCTCGGTCGTCTTGGTCGTCGCCATGACCATCATCATCAACAACATTATCACCGTGATCATCACCAGCAGCGCATTAATCTTCATCATCATCGTCACTGCTGTTTGTGATGGACGTGCATGGCTTAAGGCGGCTCCCACCGGGATAGTACAGCACCGTGATACAAGTACGAAGAAATACAACGAACTGGATGCTACGCCACATCGTTTCTCAATGTTTCTTCCAGGGCAGCCGAGGCGGCAGGACCGCCCGACAGTATCCCGCAAGCGACAAGCTTTTATGGTCATGGCCGGCAGGTTTCTTTTTGGCATGAGCCAGTGAAACTTTCGTCACCGATATCATCCTCATGTATCTCATGTGATCTTCATCTTGATCGCCATCACCATCAACAACATGATGCACAACATCATCGTCGTATCGGTCCATCTCACACATGCTCAAGTCATCTTCGGTCAACCATCGCCAGCACAACCGCAATCATGATCATCGCCAATATACAATATACGTCAATAGCATGGTCATCATTGCCATTTCTACTGCTAGAAACACCAGAGCTGTGACCAATAACGATGGTGATCCAATGGAGGCCCACCTCCAGAGCGGTTGCTTGCACTTCCTTCTCGACTGCCAGACCTGACTCCGACTGCTGCCAGTACTGTGAAGTTCATGGATGGGTACAACGAGTTTTGGTAGGTCTGGCCCACAGGGCCTTGTGAGTTCGTGGTCTCGGGTTGGGGCTTGATCTCTGCTCGTGCGACGCCGCTTGGTGCGTCTCTGGATTGAGCCTTTTCCGACTAGAACAAGCTTTCCCTTGACCTGAGCAGCAACCCGAGATCCAACAGGGTGTAGTCACCTGTGGCTACCACTTGCGACAACAGCGAAGTCGCAAGCAGTCGCACTCAGCCAGGATTCAAGTTAGTTAGGCCCTTACACTTTGGGATTCAAGGTCTAAGGCTCAGAGAGTTTCGGGTGTGGCCGAGGCTGTAACGCTCGTCGTTTGCCGCCTGGATCTCTTCGGAGCCCAAGGCCCACTCTTCCTGGAGCGGTACAAAATCCGCGTTCGGGGCATTGAGGTTTTAGAGTTTGGGAGGTTCAGAATCTATATAGGGTCTCAGACATTAATGACTTAAGGTCTCGCAAGAGATAAAGGGTAGGAATATTTATGGCTGGGGAGATGATTTGTTCTGAGGGTGGAGCTTCGGACATAGTCGATTCGGGCTTCGGGGAAAACACAATGGCAAGACTTTCATCGCAGACACGCTGACAATCCCTTCAACGTGCATAGTGGCAGTGGTGGTGACGTTCATCATTTCTGTCCGAAGTGGTCTAAACCCAGAACTGCGAATCCGGAACAAGACAAGCCGTGAATTCGAAACGCCAAACCCGACGGAAGCATCCTGAGCAGCCACGACCACCTTTGGGCCCTGCTCTGCAATGGCACCCGCGGCGCCAGCCAGTGCCGCATCCTGCGTCAACCGCCAAGAGCGCTTGAAAGGATTCTTGAAGAACAGGGGTGTAACCTGTCTGGAGTTTTGAAAGGCAGGCTTTGCGAGTCTGTGTGATTCAGGCTGTTACGGTGACGAAAGAAAAGGAGGAGGAGCAGGAGAAGGAGGAGGAGCAGGAGGAGGAGGAGGAAGACGAGGAGGAAGAGGAAGACGAGGAGGAGGAGGAGGAGGAAGAGGAAGACGAGGAGGAGGAGGAGGAGGAGGACGACGACGACGACGACGACGTTTCGTGCTAATAAGCGGGCGGCCACGACCACCACCCCTAAGAAGAGGACACTCTTACTGAGAAAACAACGACTATCACGACCACTACCGCTACTGCTAGCGCTACCACCACTACAACTTGCATTTCCAATACTGATGACATTGATAGTGACAACAGAAACCAATGGTGACAACAAGTATCTGTTCGTATGACCATTTATGTCAGTAGACCACTACGAGCGAAGGCTACTCCGACTCTCGGTTCGAGTCAGTTCGTGGAATATACCAGTGATCGCAGAGAGGCACCGCTAGATACCGCTAGTGCACGATGCAGAAGCCGAGCGCAGTGGGATGAAGCTCGGGCACCAACCACTCCCACGGAAGACACAGCGGCTCCAGCCACAGCCTCTGCCGCTGCCTGAAGCCGGCTCAGCTTTTAGGGTTCGGTCCTGGGTTTTGTCCTAGCTTTTATTAGATTCTTTTGCTTCGGCGTAGTGCCTCGCCTTCTCTCCCGAGGCCTCCGGCACCGCCCAGCGAGACTCTGGAAATTCAGTCAGATTACCCATAAGGTCTTTGCAAATCCGCTGCGCCTGTTGCCGGGGATTTTCAATTCCCTACAGGTACTATTCATGTCTGAGGTTGGAGCGGGAGCAGGAATTACACGATCGACCGGCGCTTTTAGTCAGAGAAATCTCGGGTTGCAACGAGTGCAGTAGTATAGGAAGTTTCTGTCAGTGGCTTTGTAGCATTGTCCGTAGTCATGAAAAACACAATTAGGGCCGACAGACGCCGGAAGGAAGAATGGCCCTGGCATAAGAATAGTGACAGCAGTCTTCTGAGGGCTCGGCATCTGCAACTGCTTCTGAAGCTCCCACAGAAGCCATGCCGTTGGCAGGTAGCTCACCTCGTGACTCTGGAACACCGCAACAACAACGACTACGATGATAATGATGGCGACAGCTTACGGTAACAAACCCTGCAGACAGCGGAAGCGTCCATATCAGCCTGAAGCCCTGAAACCCATTCTGAGTTTTAAGCCCAAAAGTTCTGGGAACCAGAAACCCTGGCATTGAGGTTCGAAGCGAATTGGACCCCAAAAAAGAAGCGCCTCACACGAGAAGTTCTGGCTTGAACCCTGGACTTCGTGTGCTCAGCTGCCCGCCTAAGCCTTTCACAACGCTCGAGGCCACCTCCTCGACCTGCTCGGCAACTTCCGAGCCACCAACATCCTGGCATGCAAGGGGAGCTGTTGGGATTTGGAACACAACGTTCAAATCCTAGGACTCAGCATGGTCCTCTAGAGAGCATATAGGATGGTGCTGCTTTGCACACAATTGCAAAGATTCAAAACAATTGTGGTGTGTGCTTCCATGCTTCTACTTCAGTTTATTCAGGGACGTGTGAACGCATACTGCCTAGCTCCTTCAGTTGCAATACAGAATGAGAAACAACGGAAGCAAAGCGCGACACGAACACTGTGAACCTGAGACCAAATCGACTTTCACCAGACGGAGGCACATGTGAGTTGCTCACCGAATCGTGTAACTAGGACTTTAGCCCGATGTTCAGACGACGACCTCAAGCCCTTCATCATGTAAGCCATACACTGTACATAAGCCTTTAAACCAAATCATACGTCCTAATCTACCGCAGGGCCACTTTGCAACGGACCTCCGCCGCCTGTGCACCGGCGACGGATTCAGCTTCGCCCAGCTCTGTGGCCTGCGCTGCCAAGCGTTTCTGCCGGGTGCGGCTTTGGGGCTTTAGACTTCGCGACAAGCTTGGGAGATAAGGGTGGGCTTGCTCAAAAGGCTTAGAGCTCTGGGTTCGGCTTCGAGGGCACGGAGTTTCGGCGACAAGCCTCAGCTGTACAATGTACGACTGTTCGATGATTCGGGACGTGAGTTGCTCTGAACGTCCCGCCGCAAACCGAAACCCCTAAAGGCCACTTCATCTTCAGAGGAATGTTGGAGGTACGGCCTCCGAAAGGTCCACGGTCAGAGCGGGAGCGAGGGAGAGATAGAGAGATAGAGATAGAGAGAGAGGGAGAAAGAAAGAAATGCAGGATGTCCAGGACTGGATATTTTGGATCTAACAAGATTCAAACTGCAAAAAAATCGTGGCTTCGCCAGGTCGCTACTTGTACCATCCTGCCAATTTCACGAACTGACCTCTTTCACTGAACCCTAAAACCCTTGGGTCATGAAGGTTCTAAACTGTTGAGCCTATTTCCTTGGCTGGAAGCCGAAGTGAAGCGAACCGCACCTGTGCTTCTGCAACACTGGCATCCAGGGCTTCAGCCTTCTCCTGAAGCAGTTCGGCCTCCAGTCGCCAAGAGAGGATTCAGCGAGCTTTGGGGCTCGGCTGCGGGCCGTCCTTTCTCCCTACTTAACTTATCTTACCCTCAGCCCCAAGGCCTCAGTCTGGTCCAAGGCCGCCTGTCCGACATCGCGCGCAGCCTGTGCAAGGGTGGTGAAGTTCAGACAGGGTTCTCGGGTGTGGCAGGGCGTCGGATGCCTTTTTAGGTCCAAACGGGTGGCGATTTTACACCACTTCATGCCCGTGTGGGCAGGAAAGATACTCTTCAAGATCAGATCTTGCGCAGAGTCAGAAGCGAGTTCCCTCTCGCGTGAAACGCGATCGATCTGTCCTATGCATGGTACGGCTATAGAGCGGCCTCCGCCTCGGTTGCTACAGCTGCCGCTTCTTCTTCGACGGCATACTTCAGGTTCGTCAAACCTCGGCACGGAGTCTGGCCAGCCACGACGAGAAGACAGAGGCAGAGGAGGAGGCGGGGGGGAAGAACAAGGACAGGATTTCTCTCCCGATGCCGAGAGCGATAAAAGCGGCGATGGATGTAGAACTGACACTGATTTTCCGATGACAATAACGGTAATTGTAGTGGTTATGATGGTTATGATGCCTCTGGCTGTGATGTTGATGTTGAGAATGATGATGCTTCTGATGGTGACAATGATGCTGATGCGTTTAATATGTACGGTACATATGAGAAATATGAGGACTATTACGATCATGACTGTGATGATGATGACGACGACGAACACTGCAGTAGCTGCAACAGTCTGTCCCTCTGAAGAACCCAGACCCCAAATCAGAGCGAAGCCTATGAGCGGGGCCAGGCCAGGGCCTCGGCTCTGGATTTCGAGATCCACGGACACCTCTCGCCCAGTGTCCCACGGCAGGCCAACTTTCCCTCTCTACTGTGTGGGGAGCAGGGCCTCTCTTTGTGTCAATGTCATGTACCCACAGCACACCCTCCCTTTTAAGTAAAAGTGCCCAGCATTGCCCAGTAGTAAACAGTGCCGGGCCGAGCCTGGAACAGAAGCGACCCGAGAAGGGCCAGAGGCGCCGCGACTGACGCAGGGCGAGGCTGCTGCTACTACGGGCCTAGGCCGCCTGGGCTAGGGCCGAGGGAGGTTAAACCCTGCTTGCACCTCCGCCTCGCTCTCTCGCTCTCTGTCCAGCTCCATCCCTCCGTTCTTGCATCTGCAATTTGGAACCGAGGGTGGCGACTTGAAACAGGGTCGAATGGCTGACGAACTCATAGTTGGGTTGCACGTGCGGCTGCCCCATGCGCAGCGGGTTTCATCGTTAGCCATACGGAACTTCAGCCCTTACCCGATTGCAGACACCAGCCTGTCACAAAGAGGAAGCGTGCCAAAAGGCTGCACTCGGCCGCGACCATAAGCTGTACAAAAGGCGCGAATATCAAATTAGGAGCTCCGAGGTTATCGTCATGGGAGAATCACTTCATGGATGGCAGTGACTTGCAGAGTGGGAAGGAGCGCATGGGCTCATGAATACCGCCACAGTTCCATCTTCCATGCGGCATTGCTGCATTGGCATAACGGCTGCAGTTGGGGAGATGTTGGGAGTTCAAGAAGCAGCTTTCTTCAGGCAACCGCTGTTGCATTGGAACCCAGGGTGCTGTGACATGTTCTTTCTGCAGGCCTCATTTCACACCTTGGACGCCGTCACACGGCCAGCTGCATTCAGCCGAGCACAGGAAATCCCCACGGCGTTGCCGAGGGGCATGTGGTCGCTCTCGACCCCACGCGTACCTCGGGCATAAATCGGACCCTAACGATGGACCGTCCAAATAGGTCTGCATGCATAGTTGCACACGGAATGATCTGTACTTATGCCGCGTGCTGTGCCTGTGCTATCGTTGATGCGATTCTTTTTTTCAAGAGCTTAGCCGATAGGCTGTGCACCTGCTGTCATCAGTTGCTGCTACTGGCCGTACTGATTCTCTTTCTCAGATGTTGTCGCCACAGTCTTCTAGCCGTACAAAGACTGCTCACAACATTGTCATACATGGCTTCGTTGAAATTTCTCATGGGTATCACCATGACTATCATGACGAGCGCGGTCTTTAGGCAGCTTTCCTACTGTCGTTTGCCAACTATCCTCGGTGACAACACTGCGTGTGTGTGTGTGTGTGTGTGTCGAAGGCATTGCCAGCCTTCTCATGCCCGCTGCTACTGTCCCTACTTCTGCAAGAGCTGACAGCGCAAGTAGTAGCATGCAGCACCACCATGAACTGCGTTTTCGTGATAGTCACATTAATTGTGCTTGTCATGGTCATAATGACGGTCACTACCATAAGACCTAATGAGAACCAGAACACGTTTGCAGCCACATCCGTCCTGGGAGTGTGACTTCGGTGAGTCGCGGTCGTAGAAACAGTATGGCATTGCAAGGAATGTCGTCTTGATCATAGTCATCATCCTGGCGATAGATGCCGTTTGTGCTTACTCATCTCACTGTCATCAAAAGCAGAATTATTCTTGTCGGTCTTGTCTCTCTCATGATAGCATCATAGTTCGACTCATGCCTACCAGCCGCGGAATCATCATCGCCGGTGTCAGAACCAGAATGCTCCTTGTAGTCGATGGCACCGATTCCCCACGAATGCTTTTTTCTCGGAATCCATGATCGTGATCCCTACTTCCAAGTTAAAGTTGTTATTATGGTCACCTTGACTATCATTGGTGCAAAGTGCACCACCACCATCACCACTCAGGGCAGGACAACAGAAGCCCCTCCGGAATGCCAGCTTCGGCTGGGGTTTTGCCAATCCTGTGGCAGCGGGCCTCGCTTCAAACGCGAGGCAAAGGGAGGCTTTTACTTAGGACTATGGCCTGAAAATGATGTCATGTGATGTTGTGCAATCGAAGAGCGCGTGGCAGCTTCTCGTACGGATTGGTGGGCTTCAACGGAACTTCAGATCTCATCTCTTCCTCAGTGCAACCTACCTTTGCATCCGAGAACCAAACAGGGATGGCAGTCCAATAGCCGCACGTGGCGGATTCATCATGAAGTCACGAGTCCAAATGCCCTCTGATGTAGCCCAGGGATTTTTCCTCGGATGTCGCAATTAGATTGCTGCCTGTGTTGCAGCACGAGGACTACTCATGCGAAAATCCGTCCTGTTAGTTGCTGCTAGTCTTGCTTATCTCGTTGTTCGAGCCTCTTATTTGCGTCGTTGTCCAATTGAATGCTTCTGCGCGATTCTGCTGTACCCTCCGCCTCATCCTCCTTCCGGTCCACTCCGCCTGCACCTACTACCACTACGAAACTCCAGAAGGTCAGATTCTCCGCTCCCGGACTAGCACGCATCAGCACTGAACTCAACATTTCTAGACATCTCCTTACATCACTCGTTGAGAAGCTGCTTCAGGAGGATGGGAATGAATAACCGATTAAACTCGTTCTTTGACTAGCGGCTAGCGCATGCAAGCACAAGAAACTATCAGAAGATGCAACAGCTCGTATGCAAAGCAAGAGTGAGTCAAGCATAACAACTTCGTACATGGTACCCCTAATGATAGCATGTTTTCCATCATGCGAAGGGCTCACTAAACACCGCAAAATGATGCCTGAACGTAACCACAGCCAGAGGATCTGCATTTTCAAGTCGTCTGCTGGCATTTTTTGCGCGCCTCTCTTGGGTTTTCAATTCCTCGCAGAGCTTCCAGGCACAGATGGATGAGTGGCTTCACGAAAATTGAAGGCACCCAAATCACACATGCTTGGATGCTGCTGGATGCTCATCGGATGACACCATGTTGGAATGTGAAAGCTGCCTATCGATCTATCCATCTATCTATACAGCTGCAAAATCTGTAAAACGGTATGCGCATACATATACACATACGTATACATATACATTTACATACATATACACATATACATACACATGTGCATGTACATGTACATATACGCATCTACACACACACACACACACATATATATATATATATGTGTGTGTGTGTCTATGTATATGTAAATGTCGACATATATGTACATAAATGCATATACGTATATGCATGTATCTATATATGTATACGTGCTTGCATGTATATGTATATATGTATATATGTGTATCTGTCATATATACAGTACACGTACGCCCTTATTTCTGAAATAAACGAAGTCTTGACTTGGATCGCTGCGACTTGTTCGACTACAAACACAGTTACTGGAACTCTTTCTTGATGCTGCCAAAACTCTGTTAAAATGCATGTATGCAGACAATTACGTCCTTGTGTACATATGCACATTGTATATGCACATGCATTTTTATATGTATATGTGTACACGTTTTCAAAGCATATGCATATGGGCCTGTCCAAAAACGGTCATGCCCGTGATCATAGGAACACTTCTGCCGACAATAGCCTGGGCAAAGCCAGCACTCAGAGTTCTTAGAGCGAGACCTGTGGCAGGCGCGTGAGGAAGCGCTGCTGCTCCTGGAGGTCCTTTTTTGCTTCCTCAGAACGGCTTAGGGCTTGCCGTTTGTGATTAGGGATCCCGATTGTTCGACGTCAAAGCTGAAATGCGGAGAGGCCGCTACAATGCTGACCTGTTCGAGTTCGCGCTTGTGCCAATAATCATCGAGCATTTCTCGATATTTCGCGGCCCACTTCTGATCGTTCGCTGCCTGAAGGGACCGTGGTCATAATTTTGGCCCTCCCTAACCTAGTCGTGCTGCTGGCTGCTGATAATGGCGATAGTGGCGGTGTAAGCGCTGGTAATACTTTTGCAACACTGATGATGACGGTAAGAATGAAACTGGTGACAGCACAGGACGATTCTGATGATAAAGGCCAGGAGGACGAGAAGGATGATCAAATGTACTTTACCGTCATGCTGCGAGACCTCAACGACGACGACGACCACGGCGGCAACGATGAGGCAGCAGTCTTTGATGTAGTACCAGTAGCAGTCGTCGCAGTAGCAGTAGAGGCCGGAGCAGCAGCAGCAGTAGCAGCAGCAAGCTTCAGCAGCAGGAGGACTACTTGTTGTTGTGGTTGTTACACGAATTCTAAAACAAGGTAGCGGCGACCACAAGAGCCCATGCGTTTGGACACATGTTCCTGTCGATGCGACACTGTCACGTGGCCAAAACCCGAGCGAAACACACATTCTGCGTTGGCAAGCAGCTCTTGCAGGTGTCGACAACATTAAAGGTGCAGGCAAACTTGTTGCGAAACCCGTACGATGGGGTTGCCACCTGTTCACCCTCCTGTTGTCCTGTCGTGAAAGCGAGTCTGGCTGCTCTGGGAAGGGTACTGGATTCACGTTACAGTAACAGCCAAATCGAGAGCAACATATGGCGCATCCGTAGTCGAAAGCTACTACTACAGCTACTACTACTACCACTACTGCTGC